TATGCCTGATCTTTGCTACTTTAAGTGAAAGGCTCAAGATTCTCCATCAAAAATTTCAAATTTAAACACCAAGAAAGATCCTGTTTACTCCTGTCGGAGGGGCTGGGAGAGCGCACACTCTTGACTGCTCTGCCAGAAGACTCCCGCACCGAGGTTCCTGGCTACCAGGAAAATACACGGACTACTGACAAGCCAGTGACCAGGCACTGCTGTCTTCATGGGTCTGTCACCTGGGTCTTGTAAGTCACTCTGAGGAATTTTGTCTCCTCTACCTTTGGGTTAAACTCTGCTAAACTGACATCACCTACCATGTTGTTTGAAACTCAACAGTGCGGCTTTAAAAAAATAAACAAACTCAATAAACCAAGACGACAAAAGTACAAGGAAAAGGTTTTCCACCCTTTTGTTTGATTGTTTTAGGTTATTCCTTACCAACAAGGAGGCAAATAGTAAGCCCTTAATTAAACATCTAGAATTATAGACTTTAATGAGACTAATGGTAGCTCAAAGGAGCTCTGGTGGCACAGTGGTTGAAGCACTCAAATGCTAGCCAAAATGATGGTAGTTTGAACCCACCAGCCGCTCTGCATAAGGAAGATGGGCAGTTGTCTTCAATGAAGATTTACAGCCTTGGAAACCCAATGGGGACAGCTGTAAGTCGTACTTGACTCGACGGCGGTGAGTTTGGTTTGGGTTTTGGAATGGCAGCTCATGGCCAGAATAAAGTAAACGTGGGGGTGAAGCCTGGCCCACCAGATGCCCACGAACACTGGCAGGAGCTCCACGCAAGTGGCGAGTCCTGGTGGTGAGGACTGGGGGGTGGCAGGGTAAGAGGTGGATCTAGATGACCACTCAGCTTCGTGTCACAAACCAAGGGGATCTGGACAACCTAAATGAGGCACAGGGAGCCCTGGTGGCGCAGTGGTTAAGTGCTCAGCTGCTCATCCAAAGTCTGTGGTGCTCCATGGGAGAACATTGGGGCAGCACTGTGCTTTCGACCACAAAGTGTAGAGAGCTCTTCTTGCCATCTTTCATTCTTGCCTCTAAGTAAAATAGAGTGTTTGGTTTACTTCATTCCCAAAGCATAAACTTGAGCTTTTTATAGCCTCGGCAGTGTGCTGCTATTTTAAACATGGGGAGGAAATGCATTTTCAGTCACAAACATGTGCTCCTTGAATCTGGCCTCGTTTGTTAGCAAAAGATGTGGAACAGGATGTTTTGACTCTCCTGCTCTGGTTTTCCTGTATTGCTTAAATCTGTTTACAGAAGGAAAAATCACAAAACAGTGTTTCTGTTGGTCAATTTCTAGAAACTGAAGCAGCTTGAAAAATGGAAAGAAGTTTGTAGAACTTTTATTTCTATTCCATTGCATTAGGCTAGCTTTCTTCTTATGAACTGAATTATTCATGTGAACCCACATGTGAGGGCTGCAGCATATCCCGCGTCCACTGATGGAATGTGCCCACCCAGACACCCTGGAGCAGCTGAACTCCTCTCCGCCCGGCTCTTCCCAAGCACGACTGTAACCGGAAAAGCTTTCTGAGAGGAAGTTCCAAAGAAATGAATACACTAACTTTGGAGGCCATCTTCTAGATTCATCCAGAAATTTAAGGCATTCTACCATAATTAAACGTGTCCCCATTTTCAAGGACAGCTGTGAGGACTTTCACTCAGGCCCTCAGCAGATACATCCTTATAATCTGTTATATTCTCTTGTATCTTTCAAGAAACTGATTGAGAACAAATTTCACTGTAACCCTTTATAATGGGGTTGCTAGCTCATTAATCCAGGGGAAGGTGCCTGATAGCTCTTGGTGGCTCCTCCAGACTCCCTCCCACCTTCCCTCCCCTGCTCTCTGCCCCAGAGCTGCTCTGTAAGGGACCACATGGTTGGACTCCTGCGCTCAGGTCTCAATGGCCAAGGAGAGGGCCTAGTGAGAGATGGGAGGGAGGGGGGAAAGGGCCATCTGGGTACTCCTCCCCTGGCTTCCCCTGGGCAGTGTGTCACTCACACTGAAGGTCTTGGCTCCTATCAGGAGGCCCACTCCAGGGACCCTCTGTCTTCCAAACTCAAACTGCCCCCCTCTTGCTCTCTCAGGCCCAGGGGTGGTAATGCACCTCAACATTACTAGCTCTGGGGGCGCGGCACTATTTCTATCCCCGTGGTTTTCCACCACATTGTGAATTATGAGCACATAGGAAACTAACATGAGTGGGTTGCACAGCCTGCATTATTTACATAAAAGTATGGGAATTTCAAAGGCAGTCCTGAGTTATGTTATCAAAATCAAGTATAGTAGATTATAAGATCAACTGAGTGGGTCACAACACTTTTTAAAATGACACTACACACAATAAGGGAGCTCTGGTAGCGTAGTGCCTAAGCCACTTGACTGCTAACCAGAAGGCTGGCGGTTCAAACCCACCAGCCACTCCTCGGAAGGAAGATGGGGCAATCGACTTCTGTAGTGATACTGCCGCAGAAACCCAAGGAGGGGTCACTATGAGTTGGGTCCAACTCGAGGGCACATAACAACAACAACAAACACACAATAATGTAAAACAGAAATTATCAAAGTGTATAACATATAAAACCTACTGCAGTCCAGTTGATTCTGCCTCGTGGTGACTCCATGTGTTACAGAGAACTGGGCCACACGGTTTTCTTGGCCCCAATCTTTACGGAAGCAGACTGCCACGACTTTCTTCCAGTGTCACTGGGTGGGTTCACAATGACAACCTTTACGTTAGCACTCAAATGTCAACTATTTGCACCACCTAGGGACCTCCATCACACATAGGAAGAGTAACTAATTCAACAACTTTTTATTCACTTTATTATATACTTGTATGTGTGGGTATGGGTCGGATCCGACTCCATGGCAATGGTTGCATTGTAGTTTTATGTGTGGATATAGGTGTACTAAGGCATAAGATAAAGTTTATTCCTTACTGTGAGCGGCTGTCAAAAGTTTGAAAGCTACTGGTGTGAAGAGAGCCCCTTTCAAACAATACAGTTATTACAAGGCCTGCAAACATGTTGTGCAGGTTGTCTTTCCATTTCAACCCTCACAATAAACAGTTAAAATGGACACTTAGGCACTGCTGGTGGGAAAGTAAATTGGTGCACACACATCTGGCAAACTCAGTATGTTAAAGACTGAATGACCATGTGACCCAGCAATTCCACTCCTAGGGAAATACACAAAAGAATTAAAAACAGGTGCTCAAACACAAGTTATACATGAATGTCTATAGCAGCATTATTCACAATAGCCAAAAGGCGGGAGCAACCCAGATGTCCATTAAGTGGTGAATGGATAAACAAAATGCTGTATAGCTATATGATGGACTATTATTCAACTATAAAAAGGAATGAAGTACTGATACATGCTACATCGTGACTACATCTTGAAAACGTGACGCCAGGTGAAAGACGCCAGACACAAAAGGCCTCATGTTGTATGACTCCATTTATAGGAAATGTCCAAATAGGCAAACCCAGAGAGACAGAAAGTTAGCTAGCTGGTGGCACAACACTGAATTACACTAAACGTTACCCACTGTCAATTTTACCTTATGTTATTTTACCGCAGACAAACAAAAAGATGTCTTTCATTTCATTTCTTTAAAATCATGATTGAGACCAGTTTAAGGAGCACTGGCCTAGGACCACACCTGGAGAACTCAGCTCACGCTACTGTGAAGCTCTGGTCTTTCCAAAGTCTGCTTCTGTGGAAGCCAGCCATCAAACCCTTTCATTCCTGAGTTCCTGGGTAACGGCAACACTACTCCAGGGGAAAGAAATACTGTGGGTGAAATACAAATGAGGAGCACACTGCAGCTGGAGGCACATCTCCTTGGCACTCATGCCATGGCACACGGGACAGCGGAGTCTTACCACAAGCCCCTGCAGCTCATCTCCTGAGGACTGAACTAGGTAATGCTCTCGGTTATAGAAGCAGCTCTGTGACAATGACAATCAGGCGCTGGGAGGAGAGATACCCTAGCTTCCTTGCCCCTCACTGGGTTTGTCATGGTGTCTCGAGTTCTCCAGCAGTAACCTTTACTGGCTTCCTTCCCATCCCTTCTCACCTCCCCACCGGGGCTTCCTGGAATTACCTCCCACGAACACTGCCACAGCAACCTTTGTCTTAGGGTCTGCCTCTGGGGAAACGCAACTCAGAAGATGACACCAGAGGAAGAGTGCTGTCTCGAGCCAGGCTGCCAAGATGGGAGAGCCCTGTCTTAGAAAAGCTCACAACCTGATAGGAAACCTGTGGGGATTTTTGGTAAGCAGAGGGAAAAAAAAAAAAAACCTACTGCTCATAGCAATGAAGTTCGAGGGTCAGAACTCCTTCAGGTGACTTGTTCTACCCCCAACACGGAGGGATGTTAACAAACAGACCTCCCCCCAGGTCTGTCCCGGGATCAGCACTCTTCCATTCCTTACAGACCACAGCCTCAGGCTTCACTTACTGTGATGTGTTACCTTGACCTCTTACAAATAGGTTAAGAAGGAAAAGGGCTCTTATTTCCACCAAAGAGAAAGAATTCTAGTCTTCAGCTAAAAATAACTAAGTTATACAGAATATGAAAGGATAAAAGCTACTGTTTCTGACATGTCAAGACAATTACTTGTAAAAGCACCTTTGATCTCTTTATGTTTCTTTGAGGCCACTGGGGTACTGTACCCAAGCATCCACTAAAACTAAGTTCTGAAGCTATTTTCATTCAAAAGTTTTCAAATGTAAAATGTGCAGCATGTTCAGCACTGTGGTCAACACTAAGTCAGGATTTCCTTCAGGTCAGAACCAGACATGAACCTCTGGCTGATCCTCCCTTCACAGCCCCCTCTGAGACGCTTCTGGGAGGTATTCCAGCAAGAAGGCGGGGCTGCAGCATGCTTCTCCCTCAGGAAAGGAGCAAGACAGCTGCCCGCACAGCTGGTCCTTCCCCAACAGGCCAGGTGCAGCTGGGGCGGAGACGAGAATACTCACCCTGACCCTGCAGGCAGCGAGGGCAGAGCCGATGGGGCGTTTGCCTGCGGTTTCCCTTTCTCGTTTTGTTTGAAGAAGGATTTGGCTTCTTTAGATGTAGCGTCCACTTCCTTGGTCACCCTGTACCAAGCACAGACAATAAGGTTTCAAGAGGAATAGAGAGAAATAAAATCTAAGTGACTAAATGACAACTCAGAAAATACCTACTCGGCATTCAATAAATTCTGGCTACTGGGTTTTTTATTATTATTATTATTATTTTTAATTGTGATTTGGGTGAAAATTTAGAGAGCAAATTCACTTTCCATACAGCAGTTCAAATACACTTTGTCTCATGACAATGACCACAATTTACCACAATGCAACACCTCCCCTCCCATACCCTCCCCATAGTTACCTCTTCCCTGTGTCCATCCCTCCATGCACTCCTGCCCTGAGCTGTCTCCCTGTGCATAAGGAGCCTTCTTTCTCCCATGATTGTTCTCTCCAAGGAATGTATCTACCTCAGGTAAATGTTCAACTCCTATGCCTGTCTTTTGTTTGGCTGGAAG